TTCTTCTCCGGGCCAAGGGGGTAGCACCTTTGAAAAGATTCATTTATAGTTATTAGCCCCTCGCAAGGGGATAATTAATTCGATCCTTGGTCATTGTAAAGTAGATTTTTTTATTTATACTTGTGTTCCTTATACTGATGTAATATATTTTAAAAAAATTGGATGAAAGCATAAATTGTATGAGAAAGGTGCTCGGCCAGAGGTGTAGTATCGAGGGTTCTCAAGAGATGGCGCTGACGTCCTGCCAGTGTCTTCTGCTACGTGAGAGAAGGAGGACGTGTCGCTAACTCCAGGCTCCAAAAACGAGGATTATAATACGGAGTTGTAGTAAATACCAAGCATTGGATTATATAGAAAGGGAGTTTTAGATACACCCGTCAGTTACCAACCACCAAAAAGAAGTGTAAGCTGCTTTAACATCAATCTTCCTTAGTGTGTGTATAGATGTCAAAAGCCATCCGGTTGGGGATACCTCCTTATATTCGCCTTCGTACCCTAATTTAACTGCCGTATTTACGCTAAAATCTTTATTATCTTGTATAAGGGCCCAATAAAATGTTCATGTGATTTATATGATTTTAATAAATGGCTTGTAATACCGCACAGGCTGTCTGTCTGTGTCTTTGAGGTTCATCTTTTATGCAAAGAGAGTAGTGTAAATTATGCAATATTAATTACTATGCTTGTTTGGTTTTATTTGTTTTGTTTATGTTATGACACGAAATTTCCTATTTTGGTATTATATTTTATATTATAAATTGTTATTATTTTTACTTGTCACTCCGTGTTTTTCATATTTTGAGTAGGATATAACGTCATTTTTATTTCATTGGTTTTCGTTACGTTACACAAGTACAAATATAGTGAGATTTTCTTTGTAAAACTGTTATTTTTTATGTTTTTTGTTTGTTTTTATTCAGGACGCATACTGTACGCTTTTGTTCTCTTAATTTTCCCACCAATAAACAATTTTTTTGGATTATGTTTGTTTCTTTACCACACTGAGCAACATTTTTATGAGATCAAGTTAAAGAGTAAATATGTTATTTGTTAGCATGACTATGGCACAAATTATTGTTAAAAATGTTAGCATGACTATGGTACAAATTATTGTTAAAAATGTCACACAAACAGAATAGACTTGATATTAGACGTGATGTCACAATTTTCTGCTACACGTTTGATTGTTCTTCACACGTGCACGATTTATGAGTGTTGTGGAAATCAAATTCTAGATTAAGTAGGAAGATATCCTTTCGTGTTGATCGAATGACATAGAGAAATATAACAGAAAAATATGTGTCAAAGGTGCGTTAACTTGTTGCCCTACGCATCAAAATTGAGGTCGAGATTCGTGTGTGTGTGTGTGTGTGTGTGTGTGTGTGTGTGTGTGTGTGTGTGTGTGTGTGTGTGTGTGTGTGTGTGTGTGTGTGTGTGTGTGTGTGTACGTGCGTGCGTGTGTGTTTGTGTTTTGTGTGCGTGTGTGTGTGTGTGTTGTGTGCGTGTGTGTGTGTGTTTTGTGTGTGCGTGTACGTGCGTGCGTGTGTGTTTGTGTTTTGTGTGCGTTTGTGTGTGTTTGTGTGTGTGTGTGTGTGTGTGTGTGTGTGTGTGTGTGTGTGTGTGTGTGTGTGTGTGTGTGCCCTCCCTAGCTATTACATGTCATTTGAAAGACCAGTGAATTGTCACCCTTCATCTTCGATCAACATGAAGCGAAATCAGAAGAGAAGTTAATCATAACAATATTTTGATAATTGTCATATATATCTGATTACCTCTTTATCCAACAGAGCTTTGAACTTTGAATCTTGCAGGAGAATCCAAACTGCACATCATTGGATCCGTTGAAAATGAAAAATAAAATCGTTTCAGTGTTTACATTTCAAACTTTGGTTGTATTTCCTTCGTATTTGAGGATATTGACTATACTGATGTATTATTGTTTGGCCTGTGAGGATTTAATGTGACATTGAATTTGATTTTTTTTGGTGTGTGTGTGTGTGTGTGTGTGTGTGTGTGTGTGTGTGTGTGTGTGTGTGTGTGTGTGTGTGTGTGTGTGTGTGTGTGTGTGTGTGTGTGCGCTCGCCGATATAAGTGTCAGCTTAGAGTAGATCTACAATGAGAACAGTAATTAATTGAGAGATACATGTTTCAGAAGTGGTGCTTCACTTGCTTCAAAGTATGTAAATAAAATTATCCAGAGGCGCCTTGGTTAAATTTGTTAATACACGAGTCATTACAACCCAATAATTCAATTTAGTGCACTTTTTGACGGAATAGTGAAAGCACTACTCTGCTTTTACATGAACAAGAGAAAGTATCACATTCTTTGTTTCCCTTATACAACAACAGTGTATAGTACTTAAAACTGAAACCTTTTCTAAATCTTTCTTTAAACTTTAAACCTTGTTTTGTCAGCATTTAATGGTTTGGGCATTTCTTGGTATAAGGTATCCTTTGTCTCCTTGTCTTTTGTTTGTATCAGAGAAGAAAAGTTAGTGAAAACGATTCGTATTGGTGAAAAATCAGAATCGACAACGGTAACATATCCGCAAATAGTTTGTTACATATTTTGCAGGTATGTCCTTTCAGGAATTTGGTTCGATGTCTTGAATTTTTACCGGGAATTCATTATCTACTGCCGATATCGAGTCCCGGCGGTTTTAGCCTCCCAGTAAGTGAAACTTGCTCACTAACCCTCATACTCTGGTTAATGGCGCCAAATCGTAGTTCACCTTAAGTAAGCCCATGAGACTTTCTTTTCGCTTGTCAGTATTTTCTCTCTCACTCTCAGTGCCCTTTTCTCACTTCATCTGTTTATCTTTCTGTTTTCACTTTGTATTCTCCCCTTTCATTATCTCTCTCACTTCATCCTTTTTCCTTCCTTGTCTTGCCAACTGTCCCCCTTCTGCCCCGACCCCTTTCTCTCTCTCTCTCTCTCTCTCTCTCTCTCTCTCTCTCTCTCTCTCTCTCTCTCTCTCTCTCTTCTCTCTCTCCTCTCTCTCTCTCTCTCCTCCTCCTCTCTCTCTCTGGTTTTGTTTTTGATGACTTCTATTCCTTCTCTTCCTACTTTTCATTGTTTTTTTTTTCTATTTGCCATTGTGCCTGCCTCGTACTTCGCCCTTAATAAGCGAAATGCACAACTACATGCCTGGCTCTTACAAAAATTAAACTTCAAAAATATGTACATGTAAAAGGGGAATTGCCAGACAGGAGATTTCCGCGGATGAGCTCTAATGGTATGGATAAAAGAGGCCTTGTGCATGTGCTTTATTCATTAATGCATGTAGCCCCTCGCGGGTCCTCATGCCAGAATCATGGAGGTGTCACTCAAATATGCCAGCCTCCCCCCCCCCTAGGGCAAGCAGCCACGCCCTTGTGTGTTAATGGTAGGATGCATGACACATGCCATTCTCTGCACTAGTGAGCTATCTGTTTGTTTGTCAAAATGCATGGTTTCCTGGTGAAAATAAAAAAAAAAATCATGTTACATGTTACGCTGTTTTACTCTTAGAGCAATCCATGCTTCGTAATTCGGGTTCATATTCTCTTTCTTTCTTAGGTATTGTAGCCTGTCCTTGCAATACGTATTACGAGACGCATTCGTGGATATTTGCAGAAGTGCGTGTATTCAAGAGGTTCATCTAAAGAAACGTTTAATGCAATATTTAGTATGTAAATGTTTTACTTTCATGAATTTCAAATGCGTGCGCGCTGGTGTGTGCGTGTGTTTGTGTGTACGCTCCCGTACACGTTTCGTGTACGCAGAAAGACATGACAACATACGAGTGTGATTTCTGTATAATCGCCTTTCTGTGCTTTTTTTAAACCTTTATTTATCATATGCTTATTATACTCTAATAATATACATATATATATATATATATATATATATATATATATATATATATATATATATATATATATATATGTACATACATACATATACACATTTATCTGAGTATTCACCTTCAGTACCATTTGTAGACGGTGCACCTGTTCCCTCTTGCAGCTGCATCGAAGCCCTGAAAAATATAGTGGAGAGATCTGCATGTGCTTTTTCATTTATCTATGGATGACTCTTTGGCATATCGATACGCCCGCTACTCCATACGTACAGTGAGTACGTATGAAGCGTAAGGATTTTAGTTACTGAACACGGTAAAATGTACTTTGTCAAATCTGATGCACATCCTTGCATATATTGGAAATACACGATATGTGATTTAGACTAAAATGCACAATGATAATATATTCACATTGCCATGCCCTACCGAGTTATAACCATTATATATATATATATATATATATATATATATATATATATATATATATATATACACACACACATATATACATATATATACATACATACATATATATATAATATATATATATATATATATATATATATATATATATATATATATATATATATATATATATGACACTATGCTCTGTATAGTAAATATCACGGACAGCCAATGTCTAATAAGGCAGCTGCCACGTATTACAAAACTATTTCTACACAAGAAATCACCATAGCATACAGACATCACTATACACACATTAACTCCTTGTCCATTGTTTACTAGAACTATAAACCAAGACGAGATAGTTATCGACAGTCATCTATTAAACACGAACTTCCGCTCATGTATTGATCGAGTGTGTGGCACCCTTTAGTGAGGTTGTTGTGTGTGAGGCTTTTGTGTTATTGTTCAAAGGGCCCTATTTGGAGATTACAGCGTGTCAGCCAATTGTGTGATCCTTTTGTAGCGCCATGTAGCGTGTTTATGTTACACTTTTATGAAACTCTAAACCATTAATTCTTTGAGGCACAATACATATATTTTATTGTGAAGATAAGTAGTGTTATTGGTGATTAGAAAAAAAAAACACTATACCATGTTGATAAAATGTTAGGAAGGCTCACTCTGTGCAAAATGAACTTTATTGTTTATGGTGTGTGTTTCTGGCTCTGAGAATGCAGTGTTCTGTAA